AGAAGCTGTGTCATGCAATGGAGATTTGTTGAGTTAATTTCTAAAATTCATGATTACTTGATCCCGTACCATGCTGTGAACCTCTTAAGTTCAAGTATTCTGGAAAGAGGATTCCCCCCATTTTACTGCCATCCCTCCGCACTGACTTACCGCATTAACAGTGAATATCTGTTAGTGATCTATGCAGACAAGGCTGCACCCCAAAAGAAAGCCAGGTACTGTGTTTCTTGCCATACATTTCCCATGTCAGCCTATGCTTTTGTCTTAAATCCCAAGCCTCTGTATTTAGTCATTAATTTTCCAGTGGCACAGAAAACAGGGGAATGTGCTGAATGGCAGCATGAATTCACCTCGACGATGCAGTTTAATTCCAATCCAAACCGGGATGCTCTATAGGTCAAAGTCCCATAGTTCTTCAAACACTAAATTGAGAGAACAGTTTGAAGAGAAAACCTATGGACTAAAAAACTTAAAAGAAGGGCAAGGATGACAGCTCAATAGATAAAGCACTTATTGTGTAAGCACAAGGGCCAGAGTTCAGATCCCAGCATCCACATGAATGTTGGGTAGCCACAATGGCTCAGCAATTCTGATGCTCAGAAGGTGAAGTCAGGAGCAAGCTGGCAACTTGATCAGCAAAATCAACGAGCTATGGGCTCAAGTAAGATACCCTTCCACAATGAACAAGGTAGAAAGTGGTCGAGGAAGACTCCCTGTGTCAACCTCTTGCTTCTACATATATATACATGCACTTGCACAATATGTGCACCCACATGCACTTGAATATGTATACACACATACACAAATGACACACATGCAAAAAAATGAAAGATACTTAAAAGATACAATCAACATAACAAGTATTTTTCTGAGAAAGGTTAAGCACAGTGTTGATGGATGTATATTTGGGTGATGACACTATAGTAAAATGCAAAAAGTGATAACTATTGAAGTTGTGGTTATGGTTACTCTGGAAAGAAGAAAATGATTATTATTGAGACAGAGTATGTGTAAGAGTTTCAATTTTTATTTCATTGCCTAAGTAGTAATTCCAGTAGTGTAATAAAAGTTGATCATTTTCCATTTGGAAAGGAATAAATCAAAGATGCTAGCTTTTGCCACCACTATTAAATATAGTTTGGGTAGTTTCAGATAAATAGGATTCTACCCAAGCCTGTCTACAGAGTAAATGAAATCTCCACCAAAATTATCCTTCTCTTTTATAAATTGAAAAAACAGTTTATATAAATTTCAAGGGGCTACAAGCAGACAAAACTAATTTGCGATAATCACCGTGAATGGGGGTGCTGCTGGAATAAGGGCAGACAAATAAATCAGATGAATTATTGAGTTCAGAAATAAACCTATTCCTTATAGCCAACTGACTCCCGTCAGAGATATCAAGGATATTCAATGTGGAAATAACTGTGTCTCCAGTAAAGGGTGCTTAGACAGCTGGTGTCCACTGGTAAGAGAATGAAATTGGATCCTCTACATCAGACTACATACAAAAAAAATTAACTGAAATGGATCAATGAGCTAAAAAAAAAAAAAGCTATAAATGAATACAATTCTTATTAAAAAAAAAACACAGGTAAATTTTAGTGATCAAGGCTTGGGTAATAGGTTTGTAACTATTACACCGAAAGCATGCCCAACACAGAAGAGTTGGATTTCACAAAAATTAAAGGCCTATGAGCATCAAAAGACATTCATAGTAGCAGCTCTGGCCAAGGAGCCAGATTCAGTTCCTAGCATTCACATTAGGAGGTTCCCAACCACCTGTGACTCAAATTCCAGGGTACCTGATATCCACTTCTGGCACCACATGCATATGGTGCTCATACTCAGGAATGCATACATATGTGTAATATAAATCAGTCATTTTCAAACTTACAAGAAAGTGAAAAAACTATAAAATACATGGTTTTCACAAATCAGATCATGACAATAGTCTGATATCCTAGCTATATAATAAACTATTGTCATTCAACCAAAAATATAACTCAATCTAAAAATAAGGAATTTGGGTAGATAATTCTACAAAGACACATAAATGCCCAGCAAACACATTATGATATACTCAATATAATTGGTCTTTAGGAAGATAAAAATCAAAACCATAATCACACAACATTAACTGGGTATACCATAATAACAATGTTTCTAAAACCAGACACTGTAAAGTCTAAGTGTGGGTGTGAGGGATTGAAAACCCCAAACCTTGCTAGTCAAAATTAAAATGGTACAGCTGTTATGGAAAACAGTTTGGCCATTCTTCAAACAATATAACACAGAACAAGTTCATGACCTTCCATTGTACTCTTATGGATATATTTTAAAAATAGAAACAGGTGCTCAAATAAGTACATTACATATATCCAGACTGGCACTACTTGTAACAACCAAAAAGTAGAAACAGCCCAAATGGACACACCAATGAAAAATAGATAAGCACATTATGTTCTCTGCATACAAGCAGTACAGAATTCAACCACCCAGCAGAACACAGTAGAATGTTTCAGGTATAAAGGGAATTGATGTGATAAGATGTACTTTAACACCATGAGTGAATCTTAAAAACATTATCAGAGTGAAAGAAGTCAGGCACAAAAGGACAAACACTGTACAACCTCACATATATCAAATATTCAAAATAGGTAAACTCATAAAGACAGAGAGCAGATCAGTGATTCTCAAGGATCTAGAGGAGAGCAGAATGGGAAGAAACTATTCACTAAATAAGAGCTTTAAACTGTTACTTTTCTATGGCTGTAATAAAAAAAAAAAAAAAAAAAAAAAAAAAAAAAAAAAAAACATGACCAAAGCAACTTATAGAAGGAGAGGTTTATTTGGACTTAAAGTTCTAGAGAGTTAATAATCCATTGTGACAGCATGAGCAGGTATGGTATTAGGAACAGGAAGCTGAGAGCTTAGAGAAAATTGTAAGTAGAGTGAGGTCTTAAGCTCTCAAAGTCTACCACAGTAACATAATTCCTTCAATGAGACCATACCTCATAAACCTCACAAATATCACCACCAATGAGGGACCAAGTGTTCTGATATCTGTGCCTATGGGGGGACATTCTCATTCAAACCACTACACAGTTTTAGCTATGAATGACCTAATGTTTTTAGACTAACTCTGCACAATAGTGTTGCTACCATTTAGAGGTACTAAGTGCCAAGAACTCATTCACTTTATAATTGTTCATTTTATATTGTATGAATTTTCTGCAGTGACTCATATGGGTTAAGCTTTTAAAAATGACTCATAATCACATATACACCTCTCTACCAATCCTCTAGGAGAGACTAGTTTGTGCATTGTTCTTTTGTGTCTTGACAGGAGAAATATAGAAATGCTGGTTCTGAAAGAGTCACTTAAGAGAAAGAAAGGCTAAACTTTTTCTGGCTCTCAGTCATTATGTTAATTATTTCATAAAATGGAAAGTTTCCATTTCCCCTCACAGGGCAAATGCATTGTAACACATTTCCTCTGGCTTAGTATCAACCTTTTAAAACACATGTTTCTTGTATTTTGCAGACACACTTGGCAAGTGCAGGACAAAATTGATGCCAACAATGTGGCTTATACAACTGGGAAGCTCAGCTTCCACACTGACTACCCAGCTCTCCATCATCCACCTGGGGTAAGGTGAGCTTCATCACATTTTCCACAAGCCAGGCCAAGGGAAAATGTTCTTCTGGACTGTCTAGATTATATAACTCACCACTGGATTTGTCTTACGTACATCTTCTTTTCTGAAAAACAATCTGAACTCACCAACATCTCATGCCTAAGTCCTGAACATCCTCACGTTTTAAAAGGAAAGGGATATTTTCACTCATCTTTTTGAAAATCAGTTCTTTATTTCTTCTTGGAAATAATTATTGGAGCACTTTTGCTTTGCCAAGACAGATCTTGAGATGTTTCTGTACATATATCACTCCCACAAGAGTTAAAAGAGAATGAACTGTGGAAACACAGTGTGAAGTCACATGCCCATCATTTGTATCAGCAAATGAATTAAAACCTTTTCAAGTTCAGGGTTTTTGAGCTGACTCAATTGATAAAAGTGTTTGCTACACAAACATAAGGGTCTGCATTCAGACGCCTGTCACCCAGGTAAAAAGGTGTAGGTATGTATGTGTGTCTGTAATCCCAGCTCTGGGGCATGCAAGACAGCCAGTGTAACTGAATGGTGAGCTCCAAGTTCAGTGAGGAACCCTGTCCCTAAAACAAGGTGGAGAGTATTGGTGAAACTATTAAGGCAACTCCACATATTTAAAAGGGAGGTTTATTTTGTGGATAACTTACAAGTGAAGGGATTGGTTACAGGATCTGGAACAGGTGTAGCTTAGTCCAGCGGTGTTCTCTGGAGAACTCTGCTGGGTCTACCTCCAGAGTCCAGGGTCCAAGAACCAAGTGAGCTCTCCCATTGGATCTCAGGTCTTCAGGGGTTCTCTCTCGGCTCCACCTTTTAGGCATGACAATTACCGAAGCCTCAAAGGGGGTGGTATTTCCAGGTCAAAGCTGGAACGGCTACCCACTACAGGAGAGTAATTGAGGAAGAAACCAATGTTGACCTGTGGTGTACACACACACACACACACACACACACACACACACACACACACACCTATACAGCTTACAAGAAAAGCCAATAGAGAAAGACTACTTGGCATCCTGATCCAGCCTACTCATGCACGCACATGGGCATGTGTACACCTTTACATCAAATGCATGCATCACGCAAGCACGAAGTTGAATTGATGGACAGTACATATAAAATTAAAAGTTTAACAAAATACTACTGGGGAGGATGTATCTCAATGGTAAGAGTTCTTGACCAGCATACATGAGGCTCTGTATTCAATCTTTGGTAGTGACAAAGAATAATAATGAATATTTATTATTTGTTATAATAAACAGCTAGATACTCAGCACATGTGTTTTTACGATTTGGGCTGCGCTCGGCTAAGCAGTTATTGTTTTCAGTCATCTGGCTCTTGGCAGCTGCTAGGCTGGCTAGAAAAGAGCTCACTTCAGATGATGCTGAGATGGTTTGCCTCTGTTCCCCCTAGTCTATCATCTTCCAACAGGCTAGCCTAGACTTTCTCACATGGCAACTGGCAACCTTTTCCATGGGGAAGCCAAAGCATTGTGAGTTCTTGGGACCTTGGCCAGAAATCAGCATAAGGTCCCTTCAGTGAAGTTTTATTGATCTAAGCAATTAGTGAGGCTAGCCCAGACAGAGAGGATAAGAAAGTGGGATGCTCACATGGAAAACTGAAAAAATGCATTGTAAAGGGATATCGGCAAAGGAGCAAAACAACCATGCTAGTATTGGAAGTCCTCTCCTATCCCACCCACAAGTTTCCTTGCCAAAGAAGATGCATTGTGCATAGCAGTTTTACCCAGGAGAATCCTGACTGGACACTTTCTGTCTCCATCTTTACAAATCATCATCTTTCAAACCAAATACATTTTTACAAAATCATTATTTTCTTAAACCAAAAAGCAGATGGTCAGGAGACTAAAAAGAGTGTAGCTCTCCGTTTTTAGCTAAATTGAACTGAGCTGAAACAACCACATACAAATCTGTATCCTCAGATGTAGATAAGAAGTTGGACAATTCTCAAGTTAATTAAGCATAAATGGGCCAAAACTCAAAATGAATTCCTCTTGGTCATCATCTTAACTGAACGTGTTTTCCCTGTGCCCTGCTTCTTACACATTGTTCTTGCCAGAATAAGTTAGCTAAGCTGGTCTAGTATTTGGCTTCATATGTTTTAAATTATTATACTGATTGTAAAACACCACATGGTTTCTCTGAACCAAATGATGACAGAGAGATGACTCCTCTGATCACCTTTATGGGTGGGAGATGGAGAAGGAGAGGAACAGTGAGGCTTGTTCTGAACATGGATCAGGGAGGCCAAACCACTCAACACATCCTGCCTGCTAACGATTGCTTGGAGATATTGAATGTAGAGCAACTTTAAAAATGGAGCTGAATAACTACATGTCTTACTTGAACTTTTAAATTGTGCTTTGCTCTTTCTGAATTTAATCTAAGCTAAAACTGAAATCCCAAGGAAAAATGATTAAATGGCTTCCTAAATATAACTGAAGTATAACAACAAAGCATTTACACTTTCTCAGAGTTTTCAGTTTCTTTACGTGATCTCTCTTAGAAGTCCTTTAAGGTTGACAAGCTTGATCATGCCCTGCAGTGGTAGATGAGGACATAAAGCAGAAGGCTTTTCTAAAATGACAACTAATTAATGAGGAACCTGGACTTGGACATGCATCTCTGCCTACGTTTTTAACACACCAGTATGATCCAGAACTGGAGTTACTAACTTCCATAGTATGTGGTGTGATAGGTTATTTGTAGACACTGTCATATTTTACAAAACTCTTCAAGGACAGTAACTGGACCTGGTACTTCTTTATATGTCAAAATTTAAAGCATCTTGTGCACAAATAGAGACATGAGAGATCTGCTCTAGAGAAGCCATGAAGTGTGGAATGGCAAAGGAGGTGTCCAGAGCCAACGACTTTCTATGGTCTTTAAGTAATGAACCCTGGTATGTTTTCATCCTAACAGATCAACACACATAAGCTGTCTGTCTTATTGTGCAGCTTCCATTTTAAATTATGAAGAATTTTTAATACCAAAGTTTGATCTTTGCTTTAACAAATGGAAAAGGTAAATGTCCTTTTCAGTATATTTGAAATGATCTGGAAAATGAGTTTCCTAGTGAGGGTTCAGCTTGATCAGCATGAGGAAACATATCTTAAATGATACACAGATGTGACTTTGCTCACTTTTTTCTCTGGGCCAAAAGTCACATGCTTCCATAAGGAAATATTTAGAAAGGAATTTTTTTATTCTGAATGATTTATGTGAAATAAAATTGGGTTTTATACATGACAGGAGTATATTTAGCCTTTGAATTAGTGGTAAAAATATTGTCAGGCTTCATAATCTATTTTCTTTTATAAGATAGTGTTAAAATATAACTATAAAAAAAGGAGATATTATTTGGCCTAGCCAGATGGAAAAGATACCAACTGGCCATCTTAAAACTAACATTTGAATCAGTGGGATCATTATAGCAAAATCCAAAATAATTTAACTGCTGTGATTTCCCCTGAGGACAATGCTGTGTCCTTGTTTGCTGGAACTCTGCAGACTTGCAGTTGACATGGCTCTTTCTCCTCTGTTTCGTCAGTGTAGCCTGATCTCTTCTTGACCTACTGAGATTTTCTAAAATGGTTTGATCAGTTAAGGCACATATTTTTCAATGTTAAAATTTGCCTTCATTTAAAGATGTAATCATTATTAATCTGTTTGAGTTATTGTGCAACATTGGGAAATAACAATTGACTTTTTGCATATATATGTATATAAATGAACACCTAAGACTGGATTTTTTTTTTCGAGACAGGGTTTCTGTGTGTAGCCCTGGTGTCCTGGAACTCACTCTGCAGACCAGGCTGGTCTTGAACTCACAGATATCTGCCTGCCTCTGCCTCCCAAGTGCTGGGATTAAAGGCATGCACCACCACCACCTAGTGAGACTGGATTTCTAAGAGCTCTATAAATGGATTCCCTGAAAGGAAAGGAATTCTCTGTGTTTGGGACTTGTGACCAATGTGTCAAAGTTTGAATGGCATCTTTATCACATATTAACTGAATTTTTAATTGTGAACTTTGACACCTCTGTATTTCAATCACTCCACCTACAAAATTAAGATAAATTTATCAAGTTCTAAGTAATATTATAAAATAGTAACATACATTACACAATTATCATTTGAGAACAACTTGTGTATAAAATCATAAAAATTGCAAACCCCCTGTAGCTGTAGTTTTCCTGCTTTGCCCACAGTCCCAGAATTCCCAGAACTCTCCTCTCTCCTTGTCCCACCTACTTCCTGCCTGGCCACTGGCCAACCAGTGTTTTATTTATTGACCAATCAGAGCAATTTGACATACAGACCGTCCCACAGCAACCCCCTGTGGCTCAGTGGATAAAACACCTGCCAGGCATGTGTGAGGGCCAGAGTTTGGATCCCCATGTTGTAGCCCTCCTGTAATTTCAGCACTTATAAAACATGCACACGGGATCTCCTAATCAACCTACTTTGCTAGCTAGCTTTATTGGTGAGACCTGGGTTCAACTGAGAAATGTTGCCTCAATGAATAAAGTAGAGAGCCATGGAGGGAAATCCCCAATGCTAGCCTTGTGTCTCTGCACACATGTGCACATGCTCACATATACCACATGCATATGTACCCACATGCATGCAAACATGCACACACACACACACACACACACACACACACACCACATAGACATGTACAAAAAAATAAATATTAAATACAATTTCAAATTACATTATTTAGTTACAATAACTATATTTCAAGTGTACAATGGCCATGTGGAACTGGTGGTTACTGTATTACATAACAAAGAAGAGCAAGTCTGTCCCTGCAGAAAGTCTTGACAACCACTGTTCTAGACCAGCTATGGAGGAAAAACCAAGCTAAATGAATATTTTTTCACTAAAACTGATATCCACCCAAGTATACATATCACATTTTATTCTTTTATTCTATGAGAAATCAGTGAGAAAATAATTTAAAATGTATTAGAATCAGTAAAAGTGAAGTTTTCCCAAGAGAACACCATTAGTTCCTTCAAGCAGAAAACCAGGCTCTAAATTTAGGTATCTAGAATCACTCAAACTAACCTACCAAAAGGAGTCACAAAATCCATGAAAACTCTACTCACAAAACAACTATTTCAGTCTTTCTGATTTGATTGTCAAATTGTAATATGCTCACCATGTTCTGCTAAAACACAGTTACGTTAAAACTTTCCCTATTTGGTCACCATTTACAATGTTTCTTGTATTTACTCATCCTCCTCCCCCAGTCACAGCCTACTTCAGTCCCTTGACGTCTTCAAGCCTGAACTGTCTCATTAGAGGTGCAAGTAGCTATGGCCTAGCTTGTTCCCATCTTAAAATTAGAGTGTCTGTGAGACACCACTGGATTGACACATTATTCTTCAGCTCAACCCATGTGATCTCCAGAGTCAATGTCCTTTATGCACAACAGAAAGTACAAGAATCCTTCATCTCACATTTCAGACTGTTTATGACAAAAGCCCAGTTATCTTTTCAATCCACCCATTATAACCCTCTGCTATAGCCAATCTTTTCATTATTCAGTAAGCTATATATTTTTCAGACCTATCAGCCCAGTCACCTATTTATGACCTCATTCTTTTATGGAACTCAAGTCTTACCCACACTCCTCTGCCCAGGTTAAAACTGCCTCTGCTGTTGCCTTCCCTGCCTGTAGCAGCATGCTCTGCTCCCTGACTACAGCTGGTGTAATCTGTGAACCTTATTCCTACATCCATGTCTTCAACTGCAGCAGACTTGAATTATGTCACATTTTTGTAGGCAACTTTTTCATCCCTACTTCCTCTCAATACTGAATCAGAGAATAGATGTTTTTTGTTTTATTAATTTTTATCTACTTGTATCTTTTTGAATATTTAACATAGTAGTTTTTTTAAGTGAGTGCCATTATCTTTACCTATTTCTCTGTTTCTCCTTATAGGTTCAGCTTCTGCACTGTATAAAGCAAACAGTCACAGGAGGTGATTCTGAAATTGTAGATGGGTTTAATGTATGCCAAAAGCTCAAGGAGAAGAATCCTCAGGCATTCCACATTCTGTCCTCCACCTTCGTGGATTTTACAGACATTGGAGTGGATTACTGTGATTTCTCTGTTCAATCTAAACACAAGATTATAGAGTGAGTAGTCCTATAAATTTCCTATAGTTGAAACTGATGTTTAAACAGCAGAAAGCCTTGATTAACTCTGAAGCTTTGCTTTAATATATTGCTAGAAGAAAAAAGAAAAAAATGCATAAAAAAGTTACCAAATGACATGAAATTTTTTATCAATCAATATTAGATTTTTGGGTAACTAAGAATTAATCCATACTTCATTACTAAGTATAAACTCTGCCTTCTCGATGTGATTATAGATATTAGAAAGTTTACAGCTGGGAGGGAAAGAATATAAGGGGGAATAGATAAGTCCAGGAATTAAGTCCTGTCACCCAGAAGCTGTCGGTTTTTTTCTTCTTAACTTTGTCATCTTGTTTTGGCTTCATTTTCAAAGAATTCTCACATGCTCCAAATATTTCATCATCCTTCGTGCTAGCAACCACATCACAAGGATAACATTTGTTTTTCAAAAACTATGGCACATCTGAATGACTCTCTGCCCAGTGCTGTCTAAGTCTGTCCATGAGACAATCACCAGGATGACCTACCAGGGGATTGCAGAATGCTGCTTGGCCATAGCTAGATCCCATGTGCATCTCTGGAGCAGAATCTGTCTTATTTTAGCCACATGGACTAAGAATGAAACATCCCTCAGAAAGTGCCAAGTCAATAGAAATCATTTTAATCATAAAATGGTCCTATATAGACCATTTTATACTATCCTTTTTCTGACTTTGGTGTGAGTACATGATAAGAAACATCTTATTTTCCTTGACAAGGTTGGTCCTTCATTCTTAATTATAGTGCTTTTCTTTCTGTTTTCTTTTTCTTTTTCTTTTTCACATACTCAACTAACTTTCTTTCTCTCCGTATGTATGTATGTATGTGCCTGTGTATACAGATGCATATATGTGAATGTTCATGAGAAGGCTAGAGTATATTCCTCAATTGTTCTTCACCTTGTATTTTGAGACAGAGTCTCTCCTTGAGCCTCACACTTATGCAAAAAGCACTTTACCATCTGAGCTATGTCCTCCATCCTATTTTTTTCTTTTAACATTATTTAATCATGATTTTCTTGAACATAAAAAGGATACTGATTTAACTTTTTATTTGAGAATTTCCTTATTGTTGTGTTTTTAGGATGTCATGCATTTAATTATATCTCAGTCAAAACTGGGAAGGGTTACACTTTAGAATCAATCTGTATTATTTCAGAAGAAATAACTAAATAGTATAGAAATAAAGTCATTTAGTAGATATCAAATCCTTCAGATGACATTTATATACACATACATATTTCATTCCTTCATTCAGCAAATGTTTATTGGAGCCAGGGAACTGCTCAGTATTTGGGAAGCATCACTGGAAAAAAACAAAGCTTTATAGAACTTAGATTTAATGGGGGGGGTCTTTAAATTTTTTGGCCAAATTATAATTAATGTTAAAAAAAATGTGACTTTCTAAGGATGAAACTTGGGTTGTCAAACTTTCCTGACTGAGATTTCAGCAAACTGCCTGACCTATATTTTATGGGTAGAACTAGATGATTTTCTGGAGGAGGTGAGTGGAAAATGTGGAGAAAAGATAAGTTTCAGGAGTAAATTTTAGATAAAAATAAATCTAAGGAGTTCCTTGGTGATTGTGAGATGAGAATTTTTCCCCTTTGGAGATAAGGTATCTCTATACAGCTCATGTTGTGTTCACCCTGAGATACACATGCCTCAGACTTCTGACAAGCATGTACCACTGTCCTCAGCAACACAAGAGTCTTAGGTATAACTTCACAATTAAATTCAAACATTACTTTTAAAAAAAATGCTATTTGGGATTTTAATTTGATATAAACAGTCACAACATGCATAATTATGCATACATCTAAACATCACACCACCTCCATTATGTTTAATTTGTATGTTTTTATGCGTGCTGTATTTCAGACATATCTTCTAAGATAAATTGACCCTTATTAGATGTTAATTTTGTCTATTGAATAAAACAGGTTGGATGATAAAGGCCAAGTGATTCGCATCAACTTCAATAATGCAACCAGAGATACGGTCTTCGATGTCCCCATTGAAAGAGTTCAGCCTTTCTATTCTGCTCTGAAAGAGTTTGTGGACCTCATGAGCAGCAAAGAATACAAGTACACTTTCAAGATGAATCCAGGTGAGTGGAAGAAAATGACATCCAGACTGGCCTACTGTTAATGAGCGCTGATTAGCCTAAGTAGAAGATTCCTACCATCTCCACTTCTAGGCTGTGGACTCCCAAGACTTAAAAAAATAGTCCTTTTTGCAAACTGTCATGGAAATCCTAGCACATGAAATTTAAAAGCTTCCAGTCCAAGGATACTTTAAAGAGGCTGAATGAAGCTTATGTCTAATATTAAGACTGTTTTACATTTCTGTACTGATAGTCACCTTCCTAATAAGCTTTTTGAAAACTCTTGTCATCTGTGTGATTTTCCTTATTTTATTAAAGCTATCATGGTTCCAATCCAAAAAAGGATGCTATCTTCCCTTACAACAAATGCTATGTTATTTTACAGTATCATCTAATCTACAAGTTAGATTCTAAGAGATAGTAAAGAAATTACAACATGAAAATCACCCACCATCCTAAAAAGGCATCACTTCGTCTCAAGACAGTGAAAACTATAGAGTACAAATGAAGTTTGTTTTAAATTCTTCTGTCTTGCTAAACAAAATTATCTTTGTAATTCCCACTCCAAAATACATGAGTAATGTTTATTGATAAAACTTACTCACAAAGATAGTAATACTAAAATAAAGCAGGACTCAGCCTATTACAGTGGCTTAAAATGAATAAGGAAACATGGATAATTTTTCTAGACAATCTCTACTAATTAAAGTGTCATCAAACTATAGAAATTTTTTTCTTGTTATTGGTTTTTTTATTAACAATAAAATTGTGTTTATCATGTGTATATTTTGAGATATTATGGAATGGCTAAATTTAGTTAATTAACAATGTACATACATTATTTTACATATCTATCAGTTTTCATGAAGGAAACACATAAGAACTACCTTTTTAGTGATTACAGCATATCCTTATTGGTTATAGTTACCATGTTGAACAATAGATCTGAACGTGAAGATGTTATTTGCAATAACATGCAATAACGTGCATGTTATTTGCAATAAAAGGCATAATTTCTCTTTGCTGTTGGTTTGGCCAATTTGAACTTTTTTATTGTTTTACTTTTTGAGATTTTATTATTTCTGTTTTTTATGCATATGAGTATTTGCCTGAATGTATTTATGTGCACTAAACACATACAATGCCCACAGAGTCCAGAAAGGGGCATCGAATCTCCTGGGAGCAGAGTTACAGGCAGTTGTAAGCCACCATGTGGGTGCTGGATATTGAATAAGCATCCTCTGGAAGAGCATACTCTTCACTGATGATCCATCTCTCCAGCCCTGCCCCGCCCACACACACACATACACAAACCCCCTATCCTACCCTTCTTGCTATATCATAAAACCTCATCTTTAGCTCCTGAGCTAGACTTCAGCAATACTCCTACCTCTTTCTCCTAAGTAGATCGGCCTACAGACACACACACATACCACACCTAGTTGAGTTGTTTTTAGAAACACTCTTTGACATAATAAATAAATAAATAGAACTAGATAACTCCTTAAAGCTTTTGGCATGCAGTCAAAGTGCATAGATTTTAAGAGTGACACCATATAAAACAGAAATACTATGGGAAAAAAATTATAATAGGAGTTGGAATCCAAGCTTCACCATTTAGTAAGAGAGTAGCTTTGGATAAATGCCTCAATTTGAGTTTTCTCATAGATGAAGAGATGAAATTCTGCTGTCTTTTCAGTATTTCCTTTTTAAAAAGGTGTATATAAAATATGAAGAATGTAGGATATCGCCCAAAAACTGCACTATCCTTATAATTACTTGAATCTCTTACACTGAGAAGAAATGTCTGTTATTGATGTTTTCCAAAGTAGAACAATACAAAAGTTTTACACAAAGAAAACTCTTTTATGTAACCATGTCCATGATAGCCTGTCAAGCTATGAAGTTTAATTGTTGTGCATATGGGGAGCCACTTCCTGTGGTTGTGTGCCCACAGATGGTCCTAACAAATTCCAGTGGATACTTCCAACCCAGTAGTCATCTGTTCCCAACCCAGTAGTCATACAGATGACCTTGGAAAAACTAGAGAGGTCACGAAATCAAAAGTCAAGAACCTAGGAAAGGGACTGGATGTGATGGAGGTAAGAAGTGATAGGCATGGGAAGGAGATACGAGAAAGTGAAGGGAGAGAGTAATTAGAATACATCATCTACATGTACAAAATTGTCCAGAAACAAAATTAATTAGTTAAAAAGAAAGTAGGTGTGTAATTCTGTTTACAAAAGAAATGTTCTATTTTGGTGTGAACTGAGTAGTGGTGACATCTCGCATATTGCATTTTCTTGGTATTTGTTTTCTTAATGAATATAGTACAAATTTTACTAATTACAGTCACTATAGTAAGCAACCGATCTGAACATGGAAATTTTGTTATTTGCAACAAAAAGCATAATTTCTATCTTGTAAATAATAATTTCTATCTTTGTAAATCATTTAAACACAAATTATTCATGTTGAAAATTTCTCCTAATTAGGTGATGTGATTATCTTTGACAACTGGCGCTTGCTCCATGGACGTCGTAGCTATGAGGCAGGAACTGAGATATCCCGCCATCTGGAAGGAGCTTATGCTGACTGGGATGTAGTAATGTCAAGGCTTCGTATTCTAAGACAGAGGGTCAAGAATGGGATCTAAATTTCCTGACCTTAGATTTTAGTGCAAGGTCAATGACTGAATGTTACTAGTTATAACCTGGTTATTCGTTTATTGTAATCAACATCATTTACATGTTAATTTAAAACTGAACATGCGATTTCTCTCATCAGAGTATTCTTCCTTGGAATCACATTCAATGTCAACTTGTTAGATGTCATGATAGGGGGCCGTTTTAAAGCATCCCTTCTGTGGGATGTGTGTTCTGACTTCTTTTGCTTTCAAGGGTGTCACCAGAACACCTGCAGATAGTTTAGTATCAAACAACTCTTTCTGACAAATAAAGCTTTATATATATACAGCTTGTGTTTTAAATAAAAGGTGCTAAAACATGTCCTGCTCAGTTGCCTACATGGTCTCATTTTTCATGACTGCATATCATGGTCCTTAGCATGCTTGGAAAAGTCTTCATATTTTCAAAGATCTGTTTGATTCACTCATACTGCAGGATTTTGTTGCCCATGCTTGCAGAGATCCACTCACTTGACAGTCCTAACATTGTTTGTAATACTTAAGTCGGGATAATAAACCCAAGTATGTCAAATTAAAATAAAAGTCTAGTCTCCCTAAATTTCTCTTGGCTAAAGAAATGCCTCCATGGACTTTCAGCATTACTGTCACCTAAGGATGGGTCATTCCTCCTCCCTCCTTGCCTTCAACTCATGAATTCTTCAGAGATGCAAGCAACCTACTTCAGTGGACAAGACGTTCACTCACCTCTGGACAGCCTCACCTGCTGGTCTCAGCTTCCTGCATGGCCACTGCCCTGGTGATGAAACACTGAAGTCATAGTGCAGCATGAAGCTGTAGCCTATTGAGCCTCCTACTCCAGTGGGATAACGAGCTTTGAAAGTCCAATTTGCAGAGGTTCTGATATCACCTACAGATTTCATTTTGTATGCATTTGAATCTGTGTAAACTTCTTCTTTCTAGAAATTATTTATTTATTTTACATCCCAACTGTAGGCTCCCCTCCCTCCTCTCCTCCTACTCCTTCTCCCCACCTCTGTATCCACTCCACCAAACTCCCTCCATCTACCTCACCTCTGTATTTGAACAGAAAGGGGCAGACCTCCATGGGCAAAAGCAAAGCATGGCAAGCATTTCCTCTGAATTCAGGCTGGGCAAGGCAATCCAGCATGAGGAGTAGGTTCCCAAGAGACAGCCAAAGCACCAGAGATAGCACTGCTCCCATTGCCAGGAGTTCCACAAATAGACCAAGCTGCACAACTGACACATACATGCAGAGGGCCTAGGTCAGTCTCATGCAGGCTCCCTGGTTGTTGGTTCAGACTCTGTGAGTCCCCATGAGCCAGGCTAGCCGTTTCTGTGGGTTTTCCTCCAATGTTCCTGACACCCCTGGTTTTTACAATGTCTTCCCTCTCCTCAGCAGGGCTCCCTGAGCTAGGCCCAATGTTTGGCTTTGAATATGCCTCCATAAGTCACTGGATGAAGGATCTCCACTGACAATTGGTATAGTCACCAATCTGATCACAGGGGATGGCTGTTTCACACTGTGTATTCACTGCTGCCAGGAGTCTTAGCTGGGGCCATTTCTTGAATTTCTTTTTAAATTAATTTCAGTTAGCATACAAAATAGGGGGTTTCATTGTGATAACACCATCTTTACACATATTTCTCCTTATTTGCTTTCCCGATGTCTTGTCTCATCTCCCATCTTGTTGTTTAAGGCTCTGAGCACTATATTGAGTACGAATGGAAAGACTGACCACCTTTACCTCATTTCTGATTTTAGAAGATATTAATTCAGTCTTTCTCCATTAAATATGATGTTAGCTATAGGTCATCATATCTAGCCTTTAATATGCAGGGGTACATTTCTTCTGTTCCTAGTTCCTTCCAGCTTTTGATCATGAGGGAATACATAGGCCTCTTTCTGAATCTAATAAGTTGATCCTGTGATTTCTGCCATAGCTTATTTGTGTGCTGTATTAACATTTTATCAATTTGTGTATGTTGGAAGCATCCTTGTATCCCCACAACAAAACCAGCTTCATCCTCATGTATGATCTTCTTAAAAGTACTTGAATTCAGTTTATAATTATCTTATTAATCATTTGCATCTATGTTCATCAAGAAAATTAGTCTCTAGGTGTTTTTGTTGTTGTTTGGTCATTTATGTATCTGTTGTTACTGTGTTCTTAGCTGGTTCTGACATCAGGATAGTGCTGGCTTAGTAGGAGTTTTTTTAGCTTGCCTTCCTTTTGTAACCTGTCTACAGTCTGAGACATGCTAGTGTTTGCTTCTTTTAATGGTCTGGTCGAATTCAGCAGAGCCTCCTAGCCCTGAGCTCATCTTTACAGGGACACTTGTTATTACCACTTCAACCGTTTCCTTCCTGTGGATCTGTTTAAGGTCCTCATAACTTATTACCTTCATATCCTATTGATCTAATTTTGGTATGTCGTATATGTCTCAGAATTCATCCATTTCTTTTAAATTTTCAAGGTATTTTTGGATTATGAGTTATAAAAATTTCAACAGGATCCTAAAATTGATATGGAAGCACAAAAGGCCACAAATGTCTGACACAATGCCGAAGGTATTGCAATATTTGATTTCATTGGAATCTATTGTAACAATCCTCTTTCCATCTCTAGTGTTATGAATTTGAGTAGTGCCCAATTCATTAATTTCTACCCTGATCTTTATTTTGTTTTCTATGGTATGTATCTATTTGTGAATATGTGCTCATGTAAGTGCATGTCCATAATCTTGGAGTCCAGAAGAAGAAGTCAGATTCTCTAGAGCTGGAGTTATAGGCCGCTGTGAGCCATTTGACATGGGTACCAAGAACTGAACTCAGGTCCTCTGAAATAGTAGGAAGTGCTCTTAACCACTGAGCCATATTGCAACCCCTTTTCTACTGCATTTTTTGGACTTGGCTTTTCATTGCCTTTTAGAGCCTTAAGGTGCATCATTAGCCTATTTATTTGAAACATTTTCTGCTTTTTTAAACGTGAGCACTTACATATATAAACTTTTCTCTTAGAATGCCTTAGTCATATCTCAAAATTATACTTTTTTCATTTGCCTCTAGGATTTTTTTTAATCTCTTCCCCAATTTCTTCAATAATCCATTGGACATTCAAATTGCATTATTCAATCCTTGAATATTTGCATAGTTTTTATAGTTTTTCTTCTATTAGTTTCTTGTTTTAGTTTCCTATGGTCTGATGAATTATAAGAAATTATTTTAATTATTTTGTAGTTGTTAAGACTTGTAGTCCAGAATATGCTCTGTTTTAGAGGTGGCTGTAAAATCATCTGAAATGCACGCGCTTAATGTGCTGCCATGGCGTCTGGAGCATGAGTGTAGTTGTCGATGGCAGGTAGTCCTGGTCATGGAACATTTCTGTGTGAAGGGGGAACAATGGCATCTCCTTCTCCAGTGCAGTGCAGAAGTGGTTCACTGGTGAAAGCTCCTGGTACTTTATACAGGGCAAGCCATGGGGACAACACCGTTGAACACTGTGAGAAGTATGGGGAGTCCATGAAGTTTATGGGGTTATTAAGACACATCTGCCTCCACAGAGCAGACGACATGTGACCTACCATGACGGCACTCTTCCCACGGCACATGCAGAGTCACTGGCATTCTTGCTCTCTCTATCCATTTCTAGACTTCTGCTGTGTGAGTGCCCTAGTGGTCCTTTGTCTGAAGTTATTCTCTTCCTCTGGCCCCCTGTGTCACTCTAGGCTCTTCACTGTGTTCCTCAGCTCCCCCAGAGCTGAACATTTGTGTGGCTAGCTATCTACATTTTTGAAAAGGAGTGAAGAGAACCGTGATTTCTCCTACCCCCCATCTTCTGTGTGACATGACTGCTTCATTGTTTTTAAAAGCCACATAGTTAACAGTAACTAATACATGAAAGCAAATCATATCTGATACTGTCTTATCTAAAGAAAATTGAGGAGTGGGTAATGATTCTGTTTCTTTAGTAGATAACTCCTACAGGAATTCCTATCACTCTGGGCATGTGTTCTTTAAGACAGCATCAAGACTTGCTTTGATTCTTGGAAAGAAGGAACATTACTCTCTACCATCAATACTTTCAGCTGTGATCAGGAACAAGGTCAAAACTTTTCAGACATCATTTACTGATAGCTGTCACAAGCATTCCACTGTCATTCTAGTGCATCCGACATTTTAAATACACAGCCTGAAGTCTGAAAGCAAATTTGTACAGGGAGTGGAATAGAAATAGGGAAATATGTTCTCTTTTTATGTGCATATTTAGAGTCATTGCATTCTTTTTGTTAGTTTTTTTTATTTTTTATTTTTATTTAAAAGAGGTTTCTTTTTCATTTTACATACCATCCACAGTTTCCCCTCCCTCCTCTCCTCCTGCTCACTTCCCCCACATTCCCTCCACCCCGCCACCCATTCACTCTTCAGAGAAGGTAAGGCCTTCCATGGGGAGTCAACAAAGTCTGGTATATCAAGTTGAGGCAGGACCAAGCCCCTCCCCCGGAATGAGACTGAGCAAGGTATCCCTCTATAAGGAATAGGCTCCTAAAGGCCAGTTCATGCACTAGAGATAAATCCTGGTCCCACTGCCAGTGGCCCCACATACTGCCCAAGCCACACAATTGTCTCCCACATTCAGAGGGCCTAGTTCAGTCCCATGCCAGTCCAGAGTCAGTGAGTTCCAACTAGCTCAGGTCAGCTATCTCTGTGGGTTCCTCCATCATGATTTTGACCCCTTTGCTCATATAATCCCTCCGCCCTCTCTTCAACTGGACTCTGGGAACTCTACCCAGTGCTTAGCTGTGGATCTCTGCATCTGCTTCTGTCAGTTACTGGATGAAGGTTCTATGATGACAATTAGAGTAGTCATTGATCTGATTACAGGGCAAAGCCAGCTCAGGGACCCTCTGCACTATTGTTAGGAGTCTTAGCTGGGGTCATCCTTATGAGTTCCTGGGAATTTCCCTAGCACCAGGTTTCTCCCTAACCCCATAATGGCTCCCTCTATCAAGATATTTCTTTCCCTGCTCTCCCTCTCTGTCCCTTCTCCAACTCAACCATCCTGTTCCCTTATGTTCTCTTGCTACCTTCCTTTATCTCCTCCCCCCCCACCCCCGCCCCAGCCCATGCTTCCAATTTACTCAGGAGATCTTGTCTACTTGCCCTTCCTAAGGGAATCCTTGCATGTCTCTCTTAGGGCTCTCCTTGTTACCTAGCTTCTCTGGAGTTGTGGATTATTGCCTGATTATCCTTTGTTTTGCATCTAATATCCACTTATGAGTGAGAACATACCATGTTTGTCTTTCTGAGTCTGGGTTACCTCACTCGGGATGATTTTTTGT